CCTTTCTCCCTGACGCGCCCCCATCATCCTAAGCGAACAAAGCTGATATAGAGGAGAGCCATTCTATAAAATTATTATCCATTCTGTAAAATAGTACACTTTCGATTTGAACACAGAGTGAGTTTGGTCTGCTCCATCAACGGGATTAGGTCAAGGAATCATTAAACTCTTTACACATACACCAGTTTCACTGGCCCTGTAGGAGGAGTCAGTCCTACGATTGTGCTTTCCTCATTGGCGCATCCTCCTTGTTATGGTTAGTGGTGCTAGCGGGAGCAGGAGCGAGGAGGGTACAATCGTAGGTTTGACCCCACTCCTACTTCGAGTGTGCAATGTGCTTCTGAGAGAGCCAGTTCATACCCGGCCTTTCAAATTGATCTCGCGTTCAGTGTGTGGCCCTGCAATGTTTAGAAAATTAGTTCATTCGCAGTAAACAGAAAAATCAACATCTGCTTCTTCATTCCGAACAGGATTGTTGCGAGAAACTATACTTTCTAATATAAAAAAACTAGACGCAGAACTGGGTCTCAAGATCCAAGAAGGTTGACAGTGCAGCCATGCTCCACGCAACACTTCTCTACTCCTTTTGGCAATTTGTGATTGTTTCTTTTCTACGTGGTGTGGAACTGCCACAGCTCAGTAATGCCTAACTGAAAGAAGCGTTAAGTATACATAGTTCATACAGTTGATGTCGTGCACACTCCGGCAGGGCGGTGTCAGGAGGCGAGCGATGAGCCGACCAGCAGCTGCGTTTTCTACCAGTATCGGCCGATTCGTGCAGAAAATAACCAGTAGTAGAAAACGCACAAGTCGCTCTCCTAAGGCCTCCTGACACTGCCTTGCCGGATTGCGACGATCTCAACAATATAAAATGAAGCATGCCGTCGAGTTGATGATGATCGACTCCCTCTCATTCTTGGACGTTATTCCTTGAATTATCAGGCCTTGTTTGGCAAAGACGCTTCATCTTTAATCAGCTTGCTGATTCCTTCAATGGTCTCGCAACAGCTAAAAAGTTGGAAAACAACACCAGTTTCAACAATTCTTATTGTGTTGTTTCCCACCTTTTCATGCTTTCCTGAAGGAGCGCAAACTTATTGGGTCATAATTAGCTGTTAAAATTTTGCCCATTTAGTACCGCAATCTTGAGACGTACTTTATTCTGTTTATTTCAGGTCTAATATATTGCGTTACTGTATAACGATCGAAGTGTATTGGAGAACCATCACGTGTCGGCATGTTTCCGTTTAATGAAAGAAGACGACAAGAACATTTTCTCACATCTTACAGAGATGGAGTTTCCGGTAGTCCTTGCCGCTTTGCGACAACCAGAAGGAAGCACATTTCACTTTTTCATTTTTATTCGCTTTAGTTCCACACTACTACTTCCATCACTCAGGAAAAAAAACTCGCTGAAACTCCTAAACTCCGCCTTTAGGCTTATACAGCGGCACATCATGGTTGGGGTTTTAGTGAGTCGTACGACCCCTCCCATCGTTTTTTAGTTTGGTAGGATCCCCCTCCCCTCCGGCCCTCTGTCCCTTCTCATCGAATCGAACCGTCGAGCGAGGCGAGGGGGCGGGGAGGGTATATATTAGTACACATGAAACAGGGAAATAACGAAAAATCAACTACCACACCTAAAAGGGCCAAAAAGTAAATACGACCCCCTGCCAACAGTGAGCAGCTTACACCCCCCCCCCCTTTACAACGGTCCGTGAAGCGAGAAAAAATCCAGCTATCAAAATAAATTTCTCTCAAGCCCAAACACCGACCCTACCCCTCCTAGCGGCCAAATACGACCCCTTTGGGAATTCCCAACAACGATGTGCCCTATTAAGTTATTCGCTGCTCTGATCACAACGTGCCATCCATTTTTGGCGGTGCCACCACTTAACGCCACCTCGCTTTTTGAAAGATTTGGCCAAAGCTGTATTTGGGTATCGAGGGTCCTCGTACGGAATATGACATTGTATTTTTTTGGTGTGTTGGCGCAATTTCGCGCAAATTGGCCGCTACCGTCTTCGCCTCCGAAAATTGTGCCAACTTACATACGCCGGTTATGACATTCTGATTACGAACACGACATCCATTGTCGGCACCAGCGCTAATATACGCCTTTCTGGTCATCTGGGCTCTGCTATAGCTGAGGTCGCCTAAAGGGAATCCCTCTTCCTCCCATCTTAGCCTTAGTAGAGTGCTAAATTGCGCTCATGTCAAACGATGAATACCATATTTGTTACCACGTCATCGAACAACCCTTATGCATGTTTTTCCCTAATTTGATGGAAGAGGTGGTGGCGCCGCCTACCGGGCCAAATAGCGCCAGCGACAAAACCGAATGTCATCTCGTTCGTGACCGAAACCAATTTGGGCCAGTTTCAGCCAGCATAATTTTTTTTCGGGGAGTCGTAATAGTGAAATAAGCTGCCCAAACATAAAGATAGATAATGCATGTCTGAGACCAGTACGGGCGTCCGGCTACCGACTGCGTACCCGTAGCAACAGGGTACTGCTGTACATAGTGATGTGTAAAATGGCAGTGTAAGTACGAACCCCATCCCAAAAATTTCCTCATCGGCACGACCCGTCTTCTCTAGCTAACCTACCATCTTCCTAAAACTCACGACAACTCCTTCCGCATTCCTCACTTTTTGAGAATTTTTGGCTCCTCTGAAAAAACCGCCACTAAACGAGGGGAGGTGGTCCGAACTCTCGTAGCATTCGCAGCCACGCCCCGGACTCTCCTTAGATGTGCTTCAGATAAACCAGATGGATGGAATCAATGAAATATAAAAATGGATATTGCAGGGAACTTCGAAACATGGTAATCGAGATCGTCCTGGCCACCGATATGTCCACTCATTTCGTGCAGATCAAAACCATGAAGAATATGCTTTCATTACCAGAAGGGTACGTTTCATTTGGAGTGACTTTCATAATTTTCTATTAACCATTGAGCTCTACAGCGCAAATCTCGGAGAAACGTTAGTTTACCTACCGCTCATGGAGGTCTCCCTTCATAATGCTCGGTTGAATTTTTTCCGAGCTGACGATTTTTGATCAGTGACATTATGCACGTGCATCTGAAGAGAAGCCTTCAGTCAAGAAAAATCCCAAGACATTCATGTAAAATGAGTTATGCGGTCATGCATCTAACATTATGGAAATGTACGCGGCACCATGTGGATTTTCTGAGCGGGGGTCGATTGCGTGTCGCCAACAGAGGAATTTTTGTTCAAAGGTTCTTCAATAGGGGTTTCACTCGATACTTCAAATAGACTTAGTGTTTTCTCTCGCTTGTCGAGACATGGCCGGAAAATCTACCACAAAAGACCGATGGCTTTACGACGTTCCTAACCTAGGACAAACCGTTGATATTCCGTCAAGCTTGAGAGCTCATCCGTGGAGGGTGGGGGGACGGGGGGGGGGTGCCGGAACAAGGACCACATTGTTCTATTGTGATAACTGCTGTTTAACGCCGCAGTTCGCATTGCGAACCTTATCACAAGAATGCTGAGTTATGGGCAAAGTCGACCCCAGGCGGGAGTCGAACCCGCACCTCACGCTTTCCGGGCGAGTGCGCTATCCGTTACGCCACCAGGGCCGCTTTTACCCTCTCACCAAGTTAAACGTGTGAGTGCTGTAAGGCTACGGCATAAAAGCCGTTAAGCTGAGAGGGTAAAAGCGGCCCTGGTGGCGTAACGGATAGCGCACTCGCCCGGAAAGCGTGAGGTGCGGGTTCGACTCCCGCCTGGGGCACGACTTTTGCCCGTAGCTCAGCATTCTTGTGACCTCATTGCACCACATTGCACCATTTTCGCTCCTGAGATAGGCTGAAGTCCCAGCCTCAACACATCTTCGTCCGAAACCCCTCCATACAATAAGTAGGGCTCTACCTGACCCCTGGGAGGGGTTTCGGACGGTCTTCTTTTGCTTTCTTTGCTTTCTCTCCAGTGGCAATGCAACGCTTCTTGTTTCTCCCCCCCCCCTACATATCTACGATTTTTGAATGCAAATTGGCATCTAGGGTGGAGATATTGTTGGTATGGGAGTTTAGCAATGGAGGGGGGATAATAGATCAGGAATAGAACGTTCTAAGTGATCATGCTCGATTTCAGAATTGATAAGAACAAAGCGTTGTGTTTGATTGTTCACGCCTGTGATATCTCTCATCCTTCAAAACCGTGGTTACTTCACGAACGATGGACAGGCGGTGTGCTTGAGGAGTTCTTCCGACAAGGTCAGCAGTCTTTTTTCTTTCCATGCTTTTGAGGCAGCAGACCTCGCGATGACGCGTCGACGTGCAGCGACGCGCTGTAGCGCGCTGCATTTGCAGCAGCACTGCGATCTTATAAGCGCAAACGCAGCCGCAGACGGGAATCTGTCGGTGCTGGCCGCTTCTGTTTCAAGAGAGTATAGGATAACAGGAGGGTAGGCGTTGTCTTCCCACAATCTTGGCACTATCCCGTTCTTTTATACCCTCCAGCACGTACGGCCAATGTCGCTCGATTCCAGACTGCGCGATAGGCGGTCGATCAGTCCCCTCTGCAGTGCTTCGCGTCCATAACAATGGAACGTTCTTGCAATTTATTTACTTATTTATTTAGTGCACGTTCAATAGCACATAAAACAAAAAAAGCAAGCAAAAGGAATGAAAACAAATACCAACACGTGTAAAAACTGATTATTTAGCTTCTCCGCACACACCAATTTGCAGAAAAATTGTAGCACGACGCGCATTACAGTACGTCATCGCGCCTCAACGCGCGTTACAGCGCGTCTTCGCGAAGTCTGAATGCTACCTTAACTCACATTTCCGAACCCACTCTCCCAGTAGTCATTCAAATAATACAACAGACGAAAATAAACTTGAAAAATCAGTTTTTGAAAAATGTTTCGCCAGTGTTTTCGCTTGATCGACCTGGTAGAATCAGGCCTTTTCTGCTAGTAACCCTATCTAAATGTTTATGAAAGAGGCGTGAGTATGAGGTGTGGCTTCGCCGCTATGGTTAGCGCGAAATTGTAGCCTCCAAAGCCGAATGGAGCGATGCGCATTACAGCATGTCGCGCGCTTCAACGCGCGTTACAGCGCGTCTTCGTGATGTCTGAGTGCTACCTAGACTCGTAAGTATTGTATGGTAAAGAGTTGGGGTGTGCTGACGAGGAAAAGGCCTAATCCCACAAGCCCCATTAGCGAAAACAGCGAAACATTGTGAAATAATATTAAGATTGTCCGAAAAGTTCTTCAGCGTTTTTTGTGCACCTAATCTTTGTACATTCACTGCTGATTAAAAACTCATTCTGCCTTGCTTCTCAGTAGCACATCCTGTAGAGAATTTCTTGCGCTATCTGATGGTATAATTGCCGTTTCACCATTGCTTGATAAACCCCCTTTTTTCAAGATTTTCAAGCATGTGAAAAGAGCACTTCGGACGATTTTTTTCTTCGACTATAAATTGGGGCAATCCGCAATCGAAACAGCTCAACAAATTAACCAGGTGTGGGGGCCCAATAGTGCTAGAGAAAGCACTGTGCGGCAATGGCTCAACAAATTTCGTTCTGGAGATTTCAGCCTTGAAGGTGAACCTCATAGCGGTCGACCTAAAGCAATATCTGACGAGGATTTAGGGGATTTGGAGGCTGACCCATCCCAAACAGTTCGAGAGATAGCAGAAGAGCTAGGCCTTGGCAAATCCACTGTTGCAGATGGTCTGGAACGCATTGGGAAGGTGAAAAAACTCGACAATTGGGTGCCCCACAATCGGAGTGACCGGCAGGAATCGGCACGTCTCGAGGTTCCTTCTGCATTGCATTGCTTTTGCGCAGCAGAAACGACCTGTTTTGGGCCGAATTGTCACCTGTGATGAAAAATGGGTCATGTATGATAACAGGAGACGTTCCGGACAGTGGTTGGATTTCGACGAACCACCGAGGTAATTTTCAAAGCCGAACCCTCACGAAAAAAAGATTCTGGTCACGGCTTGGTGGTCATCGGCTGGTGTGATCCACTATAACTTTTTATCACCAGGCCAAACCATCACAGCAGAACCCTACTGTGAAGGAATCGACGAAATGTACCGAAAATTTTGTCAGCTGCAGCCAACACTTATCAGAAGAAAGGGTCCGATTCTTTTGCATGACAACGCCCGCCCACACGTTTCACAATCACTATCCATAAATTGAACGAATTGGGGGTTGAAGTTCTACCTCAACCGCCATATTCTTCAGACCTTTCGCCAATCGACTATCACCTTTTCAAACATTTTCAGAACTCCCTTGCTGGAAAATACTTCATCAATCAGGACCAGGCAAAAAAGCCTTAGTGGATTTCGTGAATTTTCGACCACCCAGTTTTTTACTTTGATGGGATTTCTCGACTGCTGTCACATTGGCAAAAGTGTGCTGATTCGAATGGTGCCTATTTCGATTAAATCCGATGAGTATTAAAAAAGTTACGATCGTTTAAAGTGAAACACCCAAAACGCTGAGAACTTTCCGGACAACCTAATACTTTATCGTACATCATGACGATCGTTCCATAGTTCTTAAGTATGAGCTTGCTTTGCAGTTCCACTGTTCCTATAAAAAGCATAACATCTATTTTCAGGTGACCTCGAAGCATCTATGGGGCTACCTTATTCTCCTCTCTGTGACCGACATACGGTACACGTGGCTGACAGTCAGATTGGTGAGCTTTGCGCACTTCTGGAAATTCTTTTCTATCGCTCGATTATATTTGCAAGCATTGATCAGTTTTTGAGTGGTTTCAAGTTTATGGTGGGATGCCTGCGCGGGCCATTAATTTTCCGACCCGTTAACTTTCGTAAAGGCATCCAAGAGCTGTTATCACAGAATGCTGAGTTGTGGGCAAAAGTCGTGCCCCAGGCGGGAGTCGAACCCGCACCTCACGCTTTCCGGGCGAGTGCGCTATCCGTTACGCCACCAGGGCCGCTTTACCCTCTCAGCTTAACGGCTTTTATGCCGTAGCCTATCAGCACTCACACGTTTAACTTGGTGAGCCGGTCAGCCGTAATCGATGGGATATCGGCATGAAACCGCGAGGCCTAAGGCTTTAGATGTTTTTGAAGCTGTTTTGTTATGATAACTGCTGTTTAACGCCGCGTA